ATTGAGCAGAATCTCAATTTCTTTTGTTTTTTTTTAAATAGTTTTTGTCTTCTCTTCATGCCATATCTTGACATGGGGTGAATCCAGATATTGGTCAGCCCTAAAATTTGTTTGATTGGTTAATCATACTTAATGCTATTTAAGAAATACTTGTGGGTTACTCCACTTGGCTTCACCAAACACCCATTAGGTGGTGCTATTTAAGTCTATAAAAAGATAAAACATTTCCTTCCTCCTTCTTCCTCCAAGATGTAGCTCATAGATGAGAATGTCCCCAGTGGAGCATTTTTTTCCTCCGGTCCACTGACAGCTGAACTCTAACACATGCACATGTATATCACACACACAAACAAACAATGATATTAATAGCTACAATTTTTAATGTATATTCCTTTTTTTTTTCAATTGTGTACACATTAATGTTTTTCCTTTTGTTTGATACATGCATTTGTTTAAATTCCATGTTTTTGTGGCTTATTTTTGCTTGGACACACGAGTGCCAAATATTGCTTGCAGGACAAATATTCAAGGAGCCATTAAATATTTACAGAAAAAATGGCCACACCCCACAACAAAGCCGTGATTCCTGCAACATATTCATCCCCAGCCCCCAATAGCTGTTTGTAATAAATGAATAAATAAAAATGAAAATATCGTTTTGAACTATGGCAAATACAGATCGTCACTGTAAAGATCTCAGCCTAACCAACTTCCAAATACTTCCAGAAATCTTTGTGAATTGTTTTGGTAACATTCAATATGCCAACCAACCATTTTTTCTTAATATTTCCTGCAATCTTTTAAGTTGTTGTATTCATATGCAAATCTCCATTTGATACAGCTGGAGACTAAACTAATCCTGACCTTGAAAATGAAACTACTAGAGAAATAGTAGTCAATACTTCTAACTAAATATTAGTTTACAGCATAAGCCATCAAATATTATGATAACATTACATCTGATAATAGAGATATTTTATTATAAAATATCTGAGTGGGTTGTTAATTTACTCTCAGGAGTTAATAATTTTGATCTTAAAATTGTTGGATTGCTACTCCCTGATGATAATCACAAGCAGCAAGATACTGAATTACCAACCCCTAATGGTAATCACAGGTGGCACGAGAACTGAATGCTTCTTTCTCTTTCAAATTGCAAAATGACAAGACATGTTCTTTCTTGCTCCAATAGATACAAGGCCATGAAAGTACTTCAGAAACACAGACTGAAGTTTGTGTGAACACTTCATAACTAACTTGATTTCTTATTTTACCATTCTGAAACATTTATTGCTTCCAGCGACATCATGTTGAAACACTAGTTCCCATACGATCACTGAAGTTAAACAGTGTCAAACCTGATCAGTACCTAACTAAGTGACCACTTTGGAATATTAGGTGCTATAAGATTGGAGGTGCAGGTAGTGTAATGGATATGAGCTTGGAATTGAAAATCAGAAAGCAGAGTTCCAATTGCTGTTGAGTTCATTATATTTATTTACATGCAAATACCCTTGGGAAAAGTATGAATCCACCTTCCCCCCCACCCCCAAGCTTTGGGTTAATTAATAAGATTTGTATCACTAAAATCATTATGTTTAAAAAAGATTCTTACAATCTAAAACATTTCTGGCTTTAAGTAAACTGAAAAGGATGGATAAGCCATAGAAAACAAATCAATCAAATACATTCATTAATTGTTGTTTGTTTGAATTCCATTCCACTCTCATGAGTTTGCCAAATATTTTTTGTGGGACAAATGTACCAGCAGGCATAAAATTAATAACTTATGTACCTGCAACAAAATGTTTAAAAGATAAATTATTCAAAAAATAATTACTTTCATTGAATATATTCAAGATCTGTGTATTAGTAATAGCAATGTGCATTACTACTACTTCAGGACATAGGAGATTATGGCTCATCACAACTTAGCAGTGCTTCTCCCTATGCTAAGGCTAGTTCTCACCCTGATTCTGTCATTCATTCACACAAGTCCATCAGGTAAGTGGCTCACTGCTTTCAATATGCCCTGTGAAGGTTAAGTTTACTGAATCCTCCATCTTCATTATGAGTCCAAGAAATTTCAGCCATTTTTTTCCTGATTCTGAGTAGAAATGTCCCTTCGGTTATCATTTTCTTTCTCACTCCATACTTGCTTTAAAATACACACAAATATGTAGGTACGAGTGAAATAATTAAATAAATTATGAAAGAGTTTCTTGCCATTGAAATTAGTAATTTAAGGATGGGACTGATAGAATTTAGTTTGAATATGTAGGATAATTGATTGCTATGAAATATTTCAGAAGGTATATAAAAATGGAATATGTAAAAACCAGTTAGACGTTAAAGTCTTTATTTTTTTTTATTCATCTGTTAAATTTTGTTACTTCAAAGATATATTTTAAAATTTAATATTAACTGTTAGAAAATTTCAAATTGAATGCAGCATATGGCTTTCATATGGTTGGTTGGTTGATTTTGTTTAGTGGCATATCAACGTCTATGCTTTATTTAATGACAAAATCTAAATATTTTGTATGCAGTTTTATAGCTTCAGCTACATATATTTTGTATATAATTTTATACTTTCAGGATAAACATTTTTTTTTTTTAGATGTATAGTTTGTACATGATAAAAAGTATTGTTGGTAATTTTTTATAAAAATGTATTGCTGGTAATTTTACTATAAAAATGTATTTTTATACTATTTTAGTATTGTAGAGATTATCATTTCACTAAAAAATTGCACTGTTGAGTTTGTTTTTTTTTGGGGGGGGTCTACATAGCTGGGACCCTAACATATGCTACCACCCAGGGAAGGGTGAACCTGGGAACAACAGCAAATAAGAGGTGGTTCCACACTCTTGAAAACCTCCAATTTTCCAATGACAAGTCTTGCTGCTGGATGTAGTTTATCATCATATCCAGGATGATGTATTCATGTGTGTTTTGAAAATGTTATTGGCTTTGGAAATGTGTATGACTTTTAGGAAAGAGGATATATAAAAAAAACATTTGGGGCACAGGTGAAAATTTTGGCAAGACTCACAAATTTATATATATATATATATATATTATTTTTAAAAAATTTAAGCTCTACTTCTGTATGGAGCACTGTTTTTTTAAAAATAAAAACAAAAATACTAAAGAACTCCAGATTATTTACCTAACTTGTTCTTCCCTATTTTTCTACATATCTGCACACATATATATATATATATATATATATATATATATATATATATATATATATATATACACACACACACACACACACAGAGGTAATAATACATTGTTATATAATTAAGTGAATCTAATAGCATAAAAAATTAAAAACTGATCCACAGAAAAGAGCTCAATGTATTATAACAGAGCATATAAATTACATAGAATAGAAAAGAATGAGGTAAATTTATTTTTTATTCTATAATTTATATGCTCTGTTATAATAAATACATTGAGCTCTTTTTTGCAATCAGTTTCAATATTTTATACAAATGAGGTAAATTTGGATTTCTATTATATATATATATATATATATATATATATATATATATATATATATATATATACACACTTTGTTTATAGCAGTGCTTGGAAGAAGAGTGTGTTTGTCTCACCATAACACAAACTTTCCATCAGTGACTATAGGTTGTGCAGCAGTTCTTTGCCAATTACAACATTCCCCAGGTCTCACCCCTTATGACTTAACTCTTCAAAAATCAAATCCCACTTGAAAAGAATGAGATTCTAAGACATCGAGGAAATCCAAGAGAATGCAATGCTATTGCAAAAAAGGAGTTCCAGGAATGCTTCCATTAATGGAAAAAAACGCTGGATAAAATGTGTGACTTTATAAGAGAATTCCTTCAAAGGATATTAAACGCCAAATTGATATGTGTCATAGTTTTCTTTTTATAGCACCAATTTTTAATCAGACCACATGTGTGTGCATATATATATATATATATATATATATATATATATATATATATATATATATATATATACACACAGTGAGACCCAGATATAAGAGAGATTTTCTCTGGTCCCAAATTAGAGCCTGTGTTAATGTATATGAAATAGATCAAACCTGGATATAAGAGACTTCTTCTCCGGTCCCGACAACTCTCTTATATCCGGGTTACACACACACACACACACACACTACTAAAGAAAAACAAAAATTGTTGGTGGAACCAAGAGACTGTTTGGTAAAATTTAACTTTTAAACAGATACAGTGTTGAGTAAAGATGACAATACTGAAAAAAGGGAGAAAAAAAGCTCAGAAAAGAAACCTACCTACTCAGTAAAATGCTCAAAGCCTAGATTGCTTGACCAAGCAAAAAACGCTTACCAATGTTAAATCCTATAAAAAGACAGCTCTAGCTGTCACTCAAGTTTCATGCAGATAACTTAAACAGAAATAAAAGAACAGAGAGGCGGGCTTTATATAACCTGTGATCACTCTAAAGCATCATGGGGGAAAAAAAAAATTTTATTAATAATTTCATTAAAAAATCCATGGATAAACACACCTACTCAGGTGAAAAATAAAATAGGCAATGAAAAAAACAACTGTGGGTGGGCTAGACTACTAACTCTTGTGCTGCAGAATTGGGTTTAGTAGAAAAAAAAAAAAAAAACCAATAAACCAATATGCTAGTCCAATGGTAGGTGACATAATAGGTGTTTTACATTATATCTACATCTGCTAATTAGCTGTTTATATATCTTGAAAGTAAGACATAAGAAAATATGCAGAAAACATTTCAAGGCCAAACCTCAGCATGTAATCATTACTTTTGAATTTCTGAAATGGAAATGAAGAAATGAAATAAAAAAAAAGTTTTAAAAGGTTTTTTTTCCTTTCTGACTCTAAGAAACAAGACAATAAAATTTTCTACCCACACACCTCTTTTCAACATTAACTGAAAGTGAAGCTTCCTTTTTTGGTCCATTCATTTTGACATTGTGGCTAATCAACCTCACCAACCACAAATCACAGAAAAGGGCTGTCTTTTCAGTAGGTTGCCACATTCCTCAAGGAATGGTATCTAGTGCTAGGCCAGGGAATGAGCCTGTGATTGAATTTCAGAGTTCTCTTCAGACGAAAAAGTCTTATTTTTTTTTCTTGGCTTCCATTTTTTTTTTTCTTTTTAACTCACATCTGCTGATATCACACACACACACACACACACACACAGGTAAATGCTGTGTGCTAATTCAAGAAGCATTCCTCTCCAAATGAAAATAATGTTTTCTTTTTATGAGTGGAGAAGTCAGCAAGAAAGCTACACAGTTTGGGTGGAGCCAACTAAACTAATGGAAATTAATGAATGCCTTCCTTGATCAGAGATTATCATGTCCATCAAACACAGACGAAAAAAAAAAAGTTCTTTCAGAATTGAGAAAGAAATACTGTTAACAGAATCAATAACAGCTTTTTTTCCTCTGAATGTAAAAGAAATTTTTAAAAAAACTTTGAATATTGACTTTCAATAAAAACTAATGTTTTAGAATTCAATAAAAGCTTCAAAAAACATGAGTTTCTTTTTCCAATATTCTAACTGACTGACTCCAGAAATAAACTAAGGGAAACTGGCCCTAAGTTTTATAACACTGAGAAAGCAAAGTTCAACTGAAATTAAATTTTTCATTTGTGTTTGAAAATGCTCAGGTAACATAGCAAAACGCCAACACTTAAATAAAGGGTGTTCCAATAACTTGGACCGATTTTAAATGTGAATTAAGTTTAAGCATTAGATGATTTTTTTCTTTTTCTTTCAGATTTAACAACTTAAATCTTTGGCAATTTTAACCATGGAAAGATTAACAATCAAACAACATGTTAAAGTTTCAAGAGTACAATCAGAAAAATTGTCTGTAAATTGTCTGTAAATTCAAATAATCTAGGTCAATGTCAGATGTGAAAACGCCATTGTCTGCTTGTTTACGCTGTTTAGCTGAAAACATTGCTGCATTGCACAAGAATGTGGACAAAAATCTAAACACTTCTATTCGTCATTGCACGCAAGAATCGAACCTCTCCACAACAATGTTTCATTGTTTCCAATTGCACTCTCAGTTGGTTGATTATGCTGACCAAAAAATTGCAAAATGTGCGAAATGCATTTCTGTTTAAACGTCCCTTTTTGTAATAGGCTTCAATAACTTTAACATGTTGTTTGATTGTTAATCTTTCCATGGTTGAAAATGCTGAAGACTTACATTGTTAAATCTGAAAGGAAAAGGTAAAAATCATTAACACTTAAAATTAATTCACATTTAAAATCAATCCAAGTCATTGGAACACCCTTATAAAAAAATATTTTTCAACATCCAACTGGTTTTCACATATTTCATTTATATAAGACATACAGAAGATTATTCATCCAGGATTTAAGTGTCACCAAGGGATTTGATCTCTAGTAGAACCAACAAACTGTAATTAGAAAACCTTTAAGAACATAAACAAGCTTTTAAAATCGAAATATTTCAATGGATTGGATTTATTCAGTTGAAAAAGAGTATTGCTTTTTATCTTAAAATATGAAACAAGTATTCAGATATTACACAGTTTTTTTTTTCCAGTTATGTTAACAATGGTTTCAATTACTAGTGGGAATGTATGGTGGAGTAATGGATAACAGCTCAGATTGAGGAATCGGAGTTCAAATTCCAAACGAATTCATTACATTCCCTTATGTGCTAATACCCTTGGGAAAGGTATGAATTCTCCTCTCCCCCCAGCTATGGGTAAATAGCAGGAAAGACCGGGTTTTATAGCCTTGGATGGCATCTGGTCTATTGCAGAAATAAATGGCAACCTACTGCTGGAAAAAATCTGCCTCGTCAGTCATGTAAGCGTGTATCACACATGATGCATAACTGACTAACAACTAGTGTGAATCATATCATCAGTGTGGGGCAGACCATTGTATGCAATGATCTGCCCTACACTGGTGATTGGTATTGACCCTGCCTTAAACACCCCTCACAGATCAATCTCAGAGAGCTTCAAGCCAACCAAAGTAGATGACCTCTTCTTGCTTAGTGGCATTGTTCCCCTTACATAAGGACAGTCCACTCCCAACTTGAGAAGTTGAAGCAGGAAATTGATCCTTGTCATCCACTTCACAATTGTGAACCAATGACAAAGCGGCTCAAGTCAAGATACAGCATTTTACATACAGCTAAACCACTGAACAACATAGCTTCTAGTCAGTATTTGTCCCTGTGGTACAGTCACCTTAACAATATGGAAAACAGGCTCTATTTCAGCCCTACAGAATCCCGCCCCATGGCTCCAGTGATGCCTGGCCCATCTGGTCCTGCCTAAATTGTCTCCAAACAGTTGTTGGTCACTGTAGAGTCAACCTTCAGAAATGGGGATATGCCACTGATGTTGATCCCAACTGACAATCCAGGCAATCACAAACTATGAAGTATCTTGTAGGTTACACCAATCTTGAAGATCCATGCACACTTTACGACCTTGAAGCCTTAATATCCCAGGCAAGGCTCTGTATGCAACACTAAAAGGGTTTAGTGTAGTGACACTATAAGATGACCACTTACCAATTTTTTTTTTTTTTTTAAAAAGGTACTCTTTCTTAATAACTTATCAATGCAGTCTTCTACAAAAGGACATCAAATTTTAACCAATCACATTTTTAAAAAAAATAATTTCACCCCAAGCAAGGCAATAATGCCACTAAGGTGCCTGTCTAAGTGGCACTGTCTTCCAGAATTCTTTTATTTTCCTTTCTTTTCACTAAAGTCTTCTCATTCTCTTCCACTCCCCGTAATCCCCTGCATCTTAGTGGCATTATTACCTTAACTGGGGTGAAACAATAAAAAAAAAAAATCTAAATTTTGTATGTTAAATCTTACTGATTAATATACCTTATTTTTATTTAATTGCAGTTCCTTAAACATTTGAATTGGACCTAACTTTTGGGTTTCCTGAATGCTTCACAAACATTTTCTTTCCTTTGGTGCCATGCTTGATGGTAGGCTTTGGACAATCAGGTCTCTGATTCATAATTGATTTGGCAAAAAAAAAAAAAAATCCCACAGTAGGTTGCAGTTTCTGTAGTAGGTTGGTTGCCATCCAAGCCTATAAGACTCAGTCTATATTGCTATTTAACCCATAGCTGGAAGTGCAGGGTGAAATGGATTCTTGACTTTCCTAAAAGTATTACGATGTAAGGGAATGTAATGAACTCAACTGGAATTCAAACACAACTCTTGGTTTTTAATTCCAAGCTATTCTATTACACCCCCTGTATATTCAAGATTACAGCACCTGGTGTTCCCATGTGGTCACTCAACTAGGTACTGACCAGTCTTGAGATTTTGAAATATGAGATATTTTGCTACATAGATTTCTGGTGCCAGATGTCTCCTGGTACCAGAGAGTGTGGAAAATGATATTTTGAACCAATCGGATTCAAGAGTGACAATTTAAGCCAATAAAAATGATTTCTATAAGAAGCTCATTTGGCATCACCATAAAACATTTTATTGATAATTACATATGTACAAAACTTGTGAATCTATGTATTTAACATCAGAAAAAGTTTTACCAGAGGGTGTTGCAAAGTTCTTGACATGACCTACTGTAATGATATGTTTTTGTCAATTATTGTCTTGACAAGAAAGGTCAGCTGAGTGAAGCAGACCTCCCAAGAAGATCAACTGACCTTGACAAAGACACTTAGCTGGGAGGAGCTGACTAAGAACCATGTCAACAGACCCTCATTTCATTATTCTTTTAGATGAAAACTGACAGGACAAAATGTTTGTTATCTAAAAGACAGTGGTCCCTAGCAGCCCAAACTAGAGGACTATGAAGCTACCACATGAAAGGAAGGCATATCACACTTAAACCATTTGGCCCCTCACCTTGCCTTACATTTCCTTGCACACCTGCAGTCAGCCCTTATGAGAATGTGGCAACTGAATAAAATTTGATGCCTTCTACAATTAGGTCTCAAATGTTCAACTAGAAAACGTTGCACCCTGTAAATGAACCTGGTGTCTGGTCAGAGATGCAGAGCTATACTACTCAAAAATCAATATATCAAGGACCAAACATTAGATTTTTATTCATTTTGAAGTTTGTTTTTTTTTTTTGGTTGAGGACACTAGCAGACATTTGGCATTTTTGGAACACTTCCCAAATGATGTGTACTATTTCTAGTCTGAAAATAGACTTGGTGTTTCAGAACTGGTTTACTCCAAGTATTTGTTAAGATCATTTGATGTCTATCAAAACTTGTATATGTTTAATCATTTATGTTTAGATGGTGCTTTCTCAGTCTGTTTTTCCTCAGAAAATCATTGGAATCTTCAGATCAATGCTATATAAGTGATATATAAGTTTAACACGATACTATTCTTTCAAAACCAATTTATATTTAGTCACTTTCCCAGCACCATAAGGTTGCCTCTCCATTTCTTTTCTATAAATACTTTTATAGTAATTGTTTGGATGAGCTCTTTTCTATGGTACATAGACTTTATGAATTTAAGCACAGTACTAGACTAGTGATGAGATCTCATCAATTTACAGTTGAGCTGGCTAAATGTAACTGCATATTCTATGCTACCAATTTCTTTTGCTGCACTTCTAGATTGTGGAACTCCCTTCCGGCTCTATTCTTTCCAGCTAATTTTAATCTCCAAAAATTTAAATGCAATGTCAATCACTATCTATGGTCCTCCTGATTACTCTTTCATCTTTCTACTCATTATTAATGTTTCTGTTCCTAATTCTTCTATACCCTGTAACCCCTTGTTGTGTATTAGTGGCTTTACTGCCTTGCATGGGGTGATATTTAAATATATATATATATATATATATATATATATATATATATATATATATATATATATATCTCAACCCAAAATACACATAAAATTTAGTCAATTTAACACATTTTTGCTATATTTTGCTTGCATATTTGCTTTGAGTCATCAACTAACAAAACGTGTTCAGAGATAAAAAAAAAAAAAAGGTTTTCTTCTCTTCA